CAAAATATGAACTCCTTTCTGGATATTTTCGACCCGGTGCACTCTTTATATAATATCCACGCGTTTATCGCTGCCAAATCTAAAATATTGAAAAAACTTGGAGAGGCCATCGGAAACTCCTTGCCTTCACGCTATGTTTGCATGCCATTTGGTCAACGGCGTCCACACCAAAATTTGTTTTATTATGAAAACTAATGGTTTCTGGAACACGTTTATAATTGTCTTCTCTTAGCGTAGCCAGTCGGCCCTGCGAAATCCTTGAATATAATATAAACGGGCGTCCTACTTCTAGATCCGTCTGCTTTCAGTTTTATCCATGTCTCCCGTCAACTGCAATTTCAATTTCACCCATTACATTTTGGGATGTGTTTGGAATGCTCGTCTTCTCATCCTTGGAGTCAGAACTAGAAAGAATACGCATCCTTTTCTTGTTCCGACACACTTCCAAGAAGTTTTCCTCTTCACTATTCGAAAATCCTTCTATCTCTCAATGTATTCAGAATTTTCACTCTCATTTTCGCTTTGGCGCGATTCATACTGATCTCCTTCGAAGGTATCCTCAGAACAATCTTCATCGATGTTGACAATTTTGTTCAATATCTTATTATATCTCCAAGATTTACTCATGATTGCTAGAAAAGGGAGATTGTTCAAAATAAAAAAAATACTGTATTTAAATTCAATTACCCTAATGTAAATACTTACAATAAGCGAAGACTGTCTGAAAGACTAAAAAAGAAAAAAAAAGGAGAAGAAACAATTGAGACAATAACACAAACTTTTGCACACTGATTTTGAAAAACGTTCTTACACTGTCTCTGCAACAATCGTATTGAAGATTGTCTCTTGTTTTAGGGGGTTGTTTGGCGATAGGCATAAGCGATTTCGTTGAAAACGAAAATAAACACCCAGGTACTACTGTTTAGGATTATTGAATCATACGCATTGTCCCATCTTGGGATAAACCCCAGACCCAGAAGACCTGTCAGGGTCTTCTGGCAGCCAGATTCTAATTGCTGTTTTATTTCAAGTTTCGTGTCTTCTATTTTCTTCATTTTCAATACACTTTAAAAACAATTCTTTATTTCCCTCGGGTCACCGGACACGAGGTATTCTTTAACCATTAATTTTAGAACGCAGGCAACAGCACTTAGGATTTGGCTGGCAGTAGGCTTGCAGAAGAAAGGACCAGGCCATGCGCGATGTCACGACTTTCGAAGCCATAAAGTAACGAGCATTTCAAGAAGGGTCACGAATATGCGGGTGGCCCACCAGCAACCCCCTTTGCGGGAGAGGTTTCCTCCACCAGCAGACCTGGTTGCGGAAGACGTTCCTCCCTTCTTCGGGGGCACCTGATTCGCGGACAGAGGGCTCACCCTGGGTCCTGCCAAACACCAATGGGAAAATCGATTTCCCTCTGGGGAATCCTGGGCTTCGAAAGATCGTACATCGCACAGTCAGTTAGTCAATATCAATCGAGAAGTCGGCTCGACAGTATTCAATAGTCAGTTCTTCAGGACACATCAGAATAGTCACTTCTTCAGCATACATCAGTACAGTTAGTTCATCAGTAACTATAAGGCAGTCAGTTCTTCAGCACACATCAGACAGCTCAGTTCTTCAGTAACAACCACAGAGTCAAGTCAGCCAGTACACATCAACAATCAGTCTCCATCAGCGAGTTCGTCAGTCATCATCAAACAGTCACAACCAGCAGTCTGCACAGACAGTCTGTGCATCCCTCAACCAGTACACAAGCTTTGTGGATAGTCAGTCGCGTGGATTGACTATCTGCTATAAAATCAAATCGGGCACCTACAATTCAGAACGTGTGGCAACGTTCAAGCATTGGACTACCGAGCGGAAGCCTGCCGAATCATTTGTTCCTTCACGCCCGTCTATTGCACAAGTTGGCCTTACAACCCAACACCGTGTCTGCCAACACGAACTGAGCACCAGATTGGGTCCATAACACATACAATCAGGTTTATTTTATCAGGTTATTTTTTACATTATCGAGGCGCGATTCAGATAGCGAATTCGGGGCATCTTAGTAAAGATATTCCTTTCATTCTTATATTTATTACTGGAGAAATGATTTTACGAATGAAATAAATATATAATGATTGCTTATGAAATTAGCCAGCTCGTCAATTTGACGGGTTTCGTCGAGATAGGTATGCTAGATACAAATTTTTAAAATTAGAAGGCTTAGGTTATTTTGAAGTCAGCATTCTATCTATAGAATTTTCTATCTTCGTGAAATTTTCATATATAATTTTTCTTTTACGTATTTGCATTCCTAATTTTTTGGAACTTCTTATCATTATATGAGTTTATATTATTCATAGTGAGGTATGATACTCACTACTCGATGCTTTTACATATTCGTATTTTTAGACGTTCGAATATTTGTATAACCCAATTTCAATAAATAATTGTAACGAATAAATTTCAGAATCGTTACAAATATTGGATTTATTTGAATTTGTATGTCTACCTTGATACTTGTGTCATATAGTAACTACAACATAAGTTTTCAAACTTGAGTCCAACTCGCATGTTTTGTTTAGTAAACCATTGTATATTGTTAATATTATTGCATAGATGGGTTATTTCATCACCCATTGTATTAAATGACGACAGTTACGTAAGTAGCACATTTGTATGTTTGAGTAATTACTTAAGCAATATCAAATAAACATTTCTAATCTGTACCTATTTTATTTATTATGCTTGGTTGTTACATTCTTTATTCTCCAATATACACCCGAGCAAGATATTTTGATTATCGAGTAGGCATCTAAGATACTCTTAGAAATAACATCGAAGAATTGCTAAATTCTTTCACTTTTTTTTTTTCATTATATTTCTTCTCCACGAGATATAATTGAAATATATAAACCAATAACAGAGATAATACAGATCTAGCTTTAACATTTATCGTATTTTAACAATTAATGACAACACATTCCAAATGCAAGTTTAAAGTTGTACAGGACATTTTCAAGCAACTTGAAGCACTTTACTTTACTTTTTCTTGTAGTACCTCCGGTACTAGTACATATGATGTGCGTACGTATGATAGTTAACTTTTAATTCTCGAAAATCGCATAGAATTTTTAAAATGTTGGAAGCAGTACATAAAAATTACAGCACAGGACGATGGAACATGTAATTTAAACAAGAATGCTCCTGCTAATATTTGCAATTCGCAGAAGAATCACGTACATACAGATGACGAAATGATAGCACATTCGCAAAATCCACAAGTAAATTTGTTCCAAATTCTCAACGATTTTAATCATCGAATTTAATAATAATATACTGTAGGATACCATTTCTGAAAGAAATGTCGAATCGGCCATTGCCAACAAAAACAAATTATAAACCGATCAATATTTTCTAGAAACAAATGGAAAAGTTATTATGGGTAACGAAATTAAGTTGCGTAATCCTTATGGGGAGGTAAAGGGTAGGTTAAGGAAAGTATAAAAGCAGGATCCTTGACAACCCAAACAGAGTCCTCAGAAATTAATTGTGATCGGCACGTGCGTGAGTCGTTCGGTGTTGGAAAGAGAGTTAAATTAGAGTGCGTCTTTGTGTGTTTTCGTTTCGTTATCTTGGTGTTCTTTTCCTAAGTTAAATTAGTTTTATGAGTTTTGTGTTTGTGTTATTCTGTTCTTGCTGTTCTGTCAGTTTTTGGTGCCTCAAAACGAGTTTTCGCCATTCTACAATATCAAGTCTTTCTTATTGTATCTTTAGATAAATTATTCTATTCTTTTATAATGGATACTTCTAATTCACGAATGTGTTATACTACTGTTCGTTCTTATAGATAACACACACAAGTTTATCCTTGCAATTTTCAATATTATTCAACTCGGGTGAGCGGTTTATGCAACTGTTCTATTTCTAATAGTTTGCACAATATTCGACAAAATATGTTTTACTATCCCTATTTTGAGGCCGATTTTCAGCATTACAACATGAATGGTGACAAATAGAAAACGACACGCGTTTAATATTTTTGGCTACTCTAAAATTGTGCAGTGTTCGTAAAAATCGGCGAATAACTCTTGGGTATGTTCCTTTGTAAGTGATTTTAAGTAGTATTTTTGGATTATAAAAACCAATTTACGTACAAGTGGTTTCTTTTCATTAGATTCCTTTTTTAAATTTGCGGACACTTAGAAGACTTAAATTATAATAAATGTCGTTATCAGACTGTTGATGTTTATGCACATATGATATGCCGAAGCACGCAAAATATTTTAAAAATATACCAAATAAATGCAAAATACATCCACTGATATTTGTTTATTGTAGTTTAAAGCACAATGTCTATATGTTGCTTAATTTCTAAATTCCTTTTACATGTAATTCATTTGTCACATATTTTACCCCAACCTTTTTTTCTCTTTGCAGTAAAATAATCATCTCCCAGAGTTGCAATCCAAATATAGACTTTTACATATTTGAAGTATTTCGCTTTAGGAATCTTTCCAATATTTTAATTTTGAATCCTTAATATTTCGCTGTCACCGCAATCAATCGATTCATGTAACTATGTTATAAAAACCATTCGCGATATATTGGGTCAAATCATTACCAAAATAAAAACAGCAATTAGGATTGCTTGAGTTGAGAAGAAATAAAGTGACAACGAAAGTCTGATCGACATATTATAGTTCAGTCTGAGAGGTTTATTTGTTTTGCTTGTTTTCGTATGATAAATTATTAATCAGACATGCGCGTATGTAAAATTTGTGCACTTATGCAAAAAAGAGTATACACCTATGCACAATATGTACAATATATATAATATGCAAATATGCAAAATAAACGAATATATTTCTAGAATCCTCTATCTCTGTAAATTATACTTTTGATCAGATCCCGTAACTATAGATATCTTCTATGAAAATGTCCATTTACGTAAACATCCAAGGTCTAGTTATTACAGTTTAGAAGGAATTTAATGGGTACTTTAATTACAGGTGTTATCGTGCTGCCATATCTCTTTGTCCACAATTATCTTCGCTATGGCATGATTTAGCTTTATGTTATCTAATGCAGCTGCGGTATTATCCATGCAGTACCGACAAAAGTGTTGCTAATGAATGTCTAGCTGCTGCAAAATATGCTGTTAAATTATGTCCTTCGATATGGATGCATTGGAATCTTTTGGGTGTTATTTGTATGTCGCCATTTATAAAGAACTATGCATTGGCACAGCATTCTTATATCATGGCAATTGACAAGGACTTTAATAATTCTGTAGTGTGGTCTAATTTGGGAACTTTATATCTGCACATAGGTACGTAAAAATCATAAGGCCCGGAATAAACGTGCAGTTTGCGATAGTTTGCCAGCGGTGAAATATCACCACGTTTTATCACTATATAGATTTACATGAAATAATATACAACAGACGAAGAATGTAGCTATAACTCGATGGCATGTTTGCGTTCAACAGGTTAAACGAAAGTATTACTAGATCACGGATATAACGCTGCTGTTCAGGAATATGACGATATATTATTCGCGATAAAATAATTCACACGAGTGTTTGACGTTGGTTTGACACAGGAAAATGGCTGCCGCCACGGCAAACTCCCGTAAACCGCTCGTCTGCTGGACCTAGCACCAAGCATAAAATGTGCACTAATCAATGTCACGCAAAAAAAAAGAAGAAAAAAAAAAAAAACGCAGCGAGGTCGCAATTTTGTATAATATGCAGTGGCATCGTGATTGATCTTGCGGTGGAACCATTCGCACGATCAACACTAACAACGGAATATGATTATTCGAATTCAATGTTACGGTGCTACTGCAAAATATTTTGAAGATGTCAGCAATTAAAGTTATATTCTTTGATATATGTATTATAATATAAATAATACATGTTCCGCGTCACCAGAGAGGAGCGGTATATACGATCGAAAATTGGTCACATTTTAGTTTTGGATATTAATCAGTCACCGTTTGTGTCAGTTCTTGGCATTGACTTCGTGAAGTAGGCAGAATATCTTGTGTATTTAATATGTACGAATGAGCGTAACGCAAATTTTTTTTAGACATTAAGAAACATCTTCAGAAATTGTATGCGCGATGAATAATTTATTTTTAGTTTCATAAAGCGAGGGGTATGAAAATTTTTAAAAGTGTGTGGCGACTTCGAAAGATCCAGAGCGTTCGATGGCTAGCCACAAAACGCGGGTGCACGTGTCACGAATCGAGGTTTTGGAAAGACCAGAACCATCGAGAGCATCCGTGACGCCCGCCCCCCCTCTCCCGCGAAAACAAAAGAGGAATGGCCACTCAGATATAAAAAGTGCGCTCCCGATCGCCAGGGGAATCAATCCTCCTAAAAGCATTATAAAAGTTTCACAAATTTATGGGAAAGGATACACTGATAGAGAGTCATATTTATGTTCAGTTCGCGAAAACAGTATTCACGCACCACTAGATGCTTTACTTTGAATCCCGGTAACTTTTTTTTACAGAACATTAATTTAACAATGAAATATAGTAGGAAATATAATAGGAAATTGACATAGCTTTTAAACGATATATATATATATATATATATATTTCATTAAAATTGAAGCATCTTAATACAAATTACGTAATTAAATTCTTAACGCGTAGAAAACTGTTGAGAAGAAAGTATTTATACAGTATGCCATCTATCGACAAAAAATGTATAAACAATTCATTTGTCTTTGTTTGTAAGTGTAAATTACATTTTACTTTGTTTTACTCCTTCCATTGTAGTGCACACTTAAAATGTCTACGAAAAGCAGAGAAGCAATCTTAGAAGAACGAAATATTATAGTAGCTCTTTATAAAAATGGATCTTCTCTTAGAAAAATTGGTGAACTATTGAAAAAAAGTGATGCAACCATTCGGTATATTGTAAGTAAATATAAGACACAGGAAACATTAGAAAATAAGCGTCGACCTAGACGGCCGCCGAGGTTAAACAATAGAGATGAGAGATTTGTTATTAAAAAAGTTAAAGAAAATCGATTCAAAAATGCTCCGAAAATTGCGGGGGAATTAGAAGTAGCCACTGAAACACGCTTTTTCCAAAACAATATGTAATAGGTTTAAGGAAGCTGGATATCTTTCGTATTGCTAGGAAGAAACCATACATTAATGAAATAAATACAAAAAAGGCTTGAATTTGTAAAAAAAATACATAAATAAACCTTCAGAGTTTTGGAAATCTGTTACTTTTTCCAATGTGGGTAAAGTTAATATTTTTAGAACAAATGGAAAATGTTTAGTGTGGACAGAAAAAGGAAAAGCTCTAAATTCAAAAAATATAAGATCTGCACTAATGCACGGTGGTTTGGGTAATTTGCATTTTATTGAAGGAATAATGGATAAATATGAATATCTGTATATCTCGAAATTGAATTTGAAACAAAGTGCAGAAAAATTAGAGGTATCGGATTGTTACTATTTGCAACAAGACAATGATCCCAAACAAAAGTCTCTCTTAATTAGAGAATGGTTGTTATGCACTACACCACATGTCCTGGAAACATTTCTGCAGTCTTCAGATATTAATGCTATACAACACATATGGGAAAAACTGAAATGTGTTCGAAAACATAGAATTTTTAACAAAAATGCGCTAAAAATGCGTTAAAAAAAGAAGAATGGGAAAAGATTGATAAAAATATTACAAATAATTTAGTTGCATCAGTGCTCAAGCGATTGCAAGCCGTAATAGATAGTAAAAGATATCCAACGAAATACTAATTCATTTATTAATTTGTTATTTTGTTAAGTAATTGAAGAAGGTATCTACTGTATGAATACTTTTTTCCCAACGATTTTCGTATTCGTTAAGAATTTTATTATGTAATTTGTATTAAGAGTCTTCGATTTCAATAAAATATATATCGTTTAAAAGCTGTGTCAATTTCCTACGTTGTACTATATTTCATTATTAAATTAATGTTTTCTAGAAAAAGTTAACGGCATTCAAAGTAGAGCACCTACTGGTGTACGAATACTCTTTCACTAACTACATGTATATGTATAGAAAATAATGGTCCGAAATCAACTCGGAAATATACCGAATTAATAACACTGTCTAAAAAATTTTAATTTTTCTCAAATCTGTAATATCCGTTGGAAAATTCTTGTATAGTTTATTTTCCAGAATACGAATCTGTAAACGAATCTAGCTCCCTCAGTTTTTGAAAAATATGAATTTCTCTAAAAATGCACAATTTTTGGTTAAAATGAAGGATTACAAGAAAACCATAAATGTTCGGAGATTCATTATCTTAAAAGTTAGACGAGGTTTCTCCGAATTTATCGATATTTATAATTGTAATAATTTTTGTTTTGGAATAATTGCAATTGATCGTGAAAGTTTGAAAATAAGCCACAGAGTGTACTTCCTATACGCTATTCTTGTATTTTTGCAAAATGTTCCTTATCCAACGTAAATCTGTTATATCGTAATATATTCCGAAAACAAAAGAGAAACAGATATGCGTATATATACTCGTGTATGCAAGCCTGTTACTTACTGTTTATATAATATCTCATTTTAGCCAAAAATCGTGCGTTTTTAGAAAAACTCATATTTTTCGAAGACTGAAGGCAATGGAGCAATTTGAATAATTGATTCGTGTTGAGAAAAATAAACTCTATAAAAGTCATTCAATGGATATTATAGATTAAAATTCGTATTAGACGATGTAATCTGAATTACTTATTAATCTGTATAAGTAGATAACTTATGGATTTCTATCATGATAATATCAAGAAGTTGCTAAACAAAAGGATATTATCTCAATTTTATAACAAATGTGTGTATAATATACATATAATAATAATAATTTACGCTATCGAAGAGGTAAACGGTATTGATATTAAATCCTGTTTTTACTTATTTATAAGATATTACATGAAATATATACATATTCTATATCTATTTATATTTTAAATTAATATTATTTTACTGTATAATTAATTATTATTATAAAAAAAGTCATATATTAAAAATTGTAATGGTTATTTAAAGAAAACATAACGTTTAACGATATAATGGTAGTTGGAAACACATTTTTAAAATCTGTTCAAAATTTATTTGAAATATACAACAAAGGAATATATCTGTAGCGACCAGTATTCTCGCCCTCGCCACTAGATGGATTCCGCCTTCAAGGACTTTCCCGCAAGTCCTCGGGAAACTCCCAATTTCCTATATATATATAACTTCCCGTCTTTCCAATAGTATCCCCAGTGTCTAAAAGGCAAGGGCCTGCTAAGCAAGCCTTTACCGATGAGTCCGCTAGCAGGCCCGGGACGAAACGTCGCATCCCTTCCTTTTCCTAACGTCCCTTCTAGTTACGCCAACCATGAGGATACCTGCGACGAGCCGATTTCAAATGATGGTGGGGGAGGACCGACCCCCACATATCCATTATTTATATATTCGCCTTTGTCATACATTAAATACATATTGCATATTACATATTACATATTACATATTATGCACTACACACTACATATTACATACTGAAATATCATAGATGTTAAAATAGGTGCGGCGAATTCTGTATAATTATTCGAATTTTGATCTAATGTTTAACCCATTAATCTGAGATAAGAAGTTAATCCTTATTGAAAAATGTTTCTACAACATGCACGATGCTTATTACAATTATTTAATAACAGTGCACGTAAACTTAAATTTTATTGCCGAAATTGTTGCATCACGATTGAGTTTTGGAGAAATTCTGACGGGTTGTAAGTCCGTCTCGCGATCTCGTTATGTTGCCTGCTAAATCAATATTGGACAACTGTTTTAATTATTACGAGCAAAAGGAAGACCTCGGCTGGAGTCGAACGCTAGACTCTGGTACGACGATAGAAATCGAACTTGACTTGTTGTTTTCCGTAGAACTGCTCTCCTTGAGGTTTCGTTTGGAAGTATCCTCGTTTTTCTAAAAGATCGGTCTTAGGAAAATTGGGAACTCACCAAATATTATTGGCTAATTGGACCAAGGGCGTTCCCTTGATTCGCAGATCGGTCACCCTGAAGGAAAAGACGGTGGTAGAGGGAATCCTCTCATTTAAGTTGAGATACGCGGGGTCCAACCCCGCGCTGATGACCCTTCCGAAAGTGCCGCTTCGGGTTCAATCACCGTTTATGGCCCTTTGCTAGGGCTTGAGGATACCAACGTATGCGGACTATGTGGAACTCTCAGGCCCATTATCAGCCAAGTCTTAAGTGCCGTCGTCCAATTTCGTTAAATTAGGGTTTTCACGGGTTCTCGTGTTCTGCGACACGAGAAGTGATAATGAAAGAGAAAGTTTTCAAACATGCAAAAGACATGGATAGGAAAGTTCGAAAGGAATGGCAATGAAATGGCACGGAAGATGCCGAATTGTTTTGGCCCTAAAGACTTGGCTATTGAAAGACATTTACGGTGTCTTCCTTGTTCCACGACGGAACAGCAATTGTTTTCGATATCACTAGATGTTTCTCCTCTCGCGTTTATTCGTATTAGGAAAAGAACTAATAATAAAGTTGCTGTTTATTTCGTTCGTAACGTTGGAAGCGTAACGTACTATAGTTCGCATATACTGTCCGTATAATGAGCTAACTCGATAGGGCTAACTATTCCAGGCATTTGCAGTGTGTATTTTCGATAAATGAACTCTCCAGTTCATACATTTCATAATTATACTAGTATGTAAAGCTATACTACTTTAGTATATAGTATAACTATGTACACGTTTATTTTATATTGTATTGAAACTTTAAGACTATACATGTAATTTGTATATTTGTATGAATTTTTTGTAACAGGGTATTTGTATAAAGCGAACGCAGCTTATTCTCGAGCTCAGACTGCAGATCCTGCATATATAAATTGCTGGACAGGGCAATCTTTAATTGCTGAAATGATGGGAAAAGGAGAAGCAATGGACTTATTTCGACACGCAACACAATTAGGATATCATAGCCAAGCTGCCATAGGATATACTCATTACCTACTTAAGACAATTTTAAATTCTTCTGCCATATATGACAGTTCAGTTTCACATGTAATGAAAAAGGATTACCCTCTTCATGATGCTTTTGACGTTATGACATGGTACATTGGTGAGTTTCTATCTTTATTTATATTCCTATTTATATTATAGAGTGGCTTTTTTTCTCTGTTTTTTCTTTTTCTTTATGTGGGGGAAATCTTCCAAAGATACGTCGGCATCCTGGGGGAGGGATCGAAGTTACGTTGAATTTCTATTAAGTAAAACCTCCACGGTGAGGGAGTCCCGGGAATTCTAGTACCTTATTATCGATGCTCCCCCGTTCCATGCATCTTACGGGGTCCATTCTCGAAGGGGAAAGGTCCACTCTGCCATCTCGAAGATACTTCGCGCTCTTCTCCAATCATGGCCTCCTTCTGCAATATGAGGATTTCGCAGAAGAAGGCCATCTTTTTCCAAGACCTTTCGCTCTGCACCATCTGTGAATGATACCATCCCAGGTACTGCAAGAAAACACGGCGCTCGCGTGGCCAGGTTGAACACTCGTTCATCTTGGCCCCGCAATGATGGCACTGTACCGTCTCCTTTCATTCTATTTTCTGCAAATACTCACCGAAGCAACCATGCTCGACGAGCACCTGCGTAAGGTGATAGATTACCTTTCCGCCACTGTTCACTTATTCCTGCAAAACTGGGAGCACAGCTTCAACGTCCCAATGACTCAAGCTGTCCGACTGCTGCTGCTGTTATATTATAGATTGGTCTATATCAGCATGCATGTGAGGAGCTATATAAATAGTTAGAAGTTAATATTTTCCAAATTAAATACAGCAAGTGTAAAAAGTATTCGTACACCCAACAATTTCGAACGGCACTTTGTAAAACTTTAATCTTTTAATTACTTTCTCGCGAGAAAGAATTTTGAACTCTAGAAACATATATATTATAATAAAAAGTAATTATTAAATTATCGTTACAAAATAAAGAAGAAAGTCGAAGAAACGACGAATTTTCATCAAGCGATAAGAATTCATACGTTTTATTCATTCATTGTTGAATTACAAGGAGCTAGGTAAAAATTAAAGCGTGGCAAAAATAAAACTCGCCGTATCGCAACAGAGGTTAATGGCTTTATTTTAGAGATACTTGAGGGAGTACGTCCGACAGGGTACGTCTCTTCTCGACAACTGACCCAGGATATTTGGGTTTTCTTTCACACTCTCCTATTACATGGAAAACTCTCCCACTACATGTAGTCCCTTTCAAGCCACGTCATAAACTTCTTATGCCTGCCCCAACAACCTTCCGCCATTGATTTTGTTTATTTATGTTCGGCGCTTTTTTTTATTCCTTTAGTAATGTTTATTGTTATTTTCTGTCCATTTTATGATTGAATCGTTTCATATAGATGATCATACTACTGAAAAAATATGTTACTTTAGTTTGATAATTTAAATATTTCGGCTTATTATTGCAAAACCGATTATTATTGCAAAATCAAAACCCACTGTCCTTTAGTTTAATCAATTTTACAAAGTATAAGACGAAGAATGGAATTTAAATAAGTAAGAATATTTGGATATGTTAAAAATTAAAATTGAATTTTAAGTTAAAAGGAATTCATTGGCATTAAATGTCGAGCAAGTCAGTACTCAGCCGTACTCGTCTGTGGAGGGTAAGCGGATTTTGATGGACATTTTGAGTCATTATTATATTGAAATTTTCTCTATAATGGCGCCTTTTGAATTGCAAATTGCAGTATACAGTGATTATATTTACCTGAAATGGTGAATAAAATTTTGGATATTAGCAGTTTCATTTATTTCTGATCCGAAAGCCTTCAATTTGTATATCAGATTTTCGAACATACTAATACGTGTCGTTACGCCAGTGTTTTGCTACGAGGGTGAACTGTCTAAGTCATGTTCGCAAAAAACAACTGTTGTAATCAAAATGAAAAAATGTCGGAACTTGATAATTATTTGTTTGATTAAATTTTTGTTACAAGTAACGATTATAAATAGCCAAACAAAAGTTGTCCTTGCCGATAATCATTATTAATCCTCGAATAGACGACCGTAGATGAGCGACGCGGCGAACCGATACCGAGTCACTTTTGACCCATATCTAAATTTTTGCTATACTCGCGTTGCATTTAACTTTTCGATGCAAGACATTATCTAATAATATTTATAATATAGGGAGGAGAAGAGTTTGTTTAGAAAATGTAATATTTTATAAACATATTTTTTATTTATATGCACTGAGTACATACAATATTATTGTTTTATTACATGTTCTTCACATATAAATCGAGAACATTTGGCATATTTCGTACTATATTAGTTGTCTTTACCTATACATATATAACACCTGCACTTGTTTCGCGATTCATTGAGCTTTCTACCCGTAGTTTCAGCGGTCAAGACAATATGCTTCGTATTATCATAATTCATAAAAGGAGTTCTTTTAAACTAGACTTTGTAGCACGCGGAGGAGAAGTACATAGTATCAAGAAAGTTCTCGCAGGTCGTACGTAGATCAAATTTATCCTCAAACAATATACACACTCCCTCGACATCAAGGCGTTGTTTATCATATACAACAAGAAGAAATATTCGAAAATACAATTTTCTCGGAGAGCCATCCGTCACTAATCGTTCCCAAGTAAGACCGATCTAGTGACGATATACAGTACCGATTAGAATTGTGCAGCATACAAGTTCAGTTGTATGGCGCATTCAAGTCACAGACTTTTTCTTACTTGTTGTTAATAGAAACGAATGTGGTGTTGAATTTTTTCAAGTACTATTTCCAGAAAAATTGTGGAAGTGGACTTAGCTTTTAAAATTTCTCGAACGTTTAATCTGAAATAGAAATGCAAAAGTAACTCTTCCGTTTTGAAAATTATTTCTCATTAAGAGAAAAGTTTCTACTCCAGTGTGGGAGATAAGAAATAGTTGGCTCCTAGGTGATGTAGAGATTATTTATATTTAAGTCACATGTGTCGTAAGTTAGGGAAAAGTAGAAAGTATATTTATTAAAAATGATGACGACCATCTAAAAACGTTAAACGCTCAAAACCGACTATCTACTGCTATTTTATGGCATCCCTTTTATTCCCACACATACTACACACTCATACTATGCGTCATCCAAAAATTACATTCTAGAAACTTATTCGCTCTACTCGCCTAACTGATGCGATCTAACATGACTTGCTCTCGAAGTCTTCTCTTCGCTGCTGTCATGCCGATTACTCATTCATCACGTCAACAATCGTTCGATACGCACGCAATTGCCATCCATGCTGGCATTCCCAATTTCATTCCCAAAAATGGAGCAAGGAACGAGACGAATTGCTCTGAAATTCTTGTATTACATTACTTTGTTTCTTTTACGTAAATAATAATTCTTCATTTGCACATTATTTCTTTACGTAGTAAACTACTCATCGATATAATTTTTCTTTGTATACTATTTGCTTGTACAAAATTACCGCAAAAACCAGGTGTACGAATACTTTTCTTACTTATTGCATTTACATAACTATTCAGAAATAGCTGCACGAGAGAAGCATTTGCAGTGTATAATTTTTATGATTACAAGTTTATATCGATCGATGTCGTTCCTTGGCAATGGAACAAGCTTTATTAATTAATATACATAGTATATCTATTAAACTTTAAGAATTAAAAGAATGTAAAAATTTGTTTAATTCATTTACAAATTTTGATGAATTGCTTCTTGGCGTACGGACAACGTTTAGCAACAAAGGAATAATCTGCTTAAATCCAAATAAGTGAGAAACGTATATGTACATCATTTTCAACATCAACTTTGTGCGATTTACTTATTTTCGGTAACTCCGAATTACAGTTCGTTGGAAAATATACTTTAGCTTAGAGTAAAAATTAATCTCGTATAAACTAACATGTGCACGATTAAATTGTGCGTCAAGAGTGATACGATGTAGTCCCCTTAAAGCACAATTTGGAATTAGGTACCCGAAAGAGGAACCGCGACGCTCACCCTCTTCGACTCTCGAGTTGTTCATAAGAAGTTCGACAGTAACGATATACCTTCCTTGATTAGTAAAGAACAAATCACGGATAAGGTATATCTTGTTATTTTCTTATAATAAGCAAGATACAAAAATCCCAATAATACTATAATGGACAAAGTTTGTATGTAAACATTTTCGAGTTCATACTGGCAGATGTTGGGGAGAACATTCACTGCCCGGCCAAAACGTACCAGCACTTAGATACGAAAAACATCGCTTGTTTTTCTGCGGTCTTTATATACTCTAATCAATATATGTCAGCTATCCATTAAAAGATCCACTCGATAAATGAAACTAATAAATGTATATATTTTTGTATACATAAATTGTAATATTTTTGTAATCAATCCGGCATTAATTTATCATTAATTAAACATGGTCCATAACACTATTCAATACGAATTTTAATCTGTAATATCCATTGGGAAACTTTCGTAAAGACGTTTCCGAATGTAAATCCGCAAACGAAATTGCTCCATCAATCTCGATTTTCGAAAAATATGAGTTCTTCCAAAAAACGCACGATCGCTATGTGAATATCTAAAATTTATAAATTGATGTCAAGGTAGAGTGTCGTAATGAATAGATATACTTGGATAATATGTAAACGGTATCGTTTTACATCATGGATGAAAATATTTTCATAATTTTTCATAGTTTTTGTAAGTCTCAAAATACCCCGTATTCTTTCTTTCCAAATATAAAATTTGCATCTGTAAGGGGTGGTAATAACTTTAACTCTCGGTGGCTAATTGTACTTTTACTTTTTTAAAACTGTCTACACCAAATTGTCGCGTTGAACTTTCTACATAAAACTGTCCTGTCCGCGTCTTGGTTTACCCTTCTTAACCCTTTGCGAACGGAGCGGTTTTGAGTAAACCATACCGTGGGGCCAAGCCGCTGCCGCGATAGTCATTCAAAACTATCAGCGCTCATTTTTGCCTAATACTTTGACTGCCACGTTGGTCATATATGACCGGCCACGGTTTCCCCTGTGGCGACATGGTGATTATTGGTGACCGGAACGCTTCAACTACTTAAACTACATTGAACAACATTGAATGAAAATTGACAGTTAGGGCATTTTGACTATAACCGCTAATTAGAAGGTACTTTGAAATAAAAAGTGCCCTATTGAACAATTAAAGATTTTTATTCGAACAAAAAGATATTAGAACAAATCTTGCATCTAGCGGTGCATCTCGCGTGGCGTCCTGAGCGAAACGTGTGATTTCAGCGTGACAGCCAAAGGGTTAAACGCGATTTTCATTCATGCTGACAATAAGGACATAAACCAGTCCTACACTTAACTTGAGGGTCCTAGGGTCACAACAGCGGGCGCACATTTGTGTTTTTCGGCCTTATCGGTTGTTTTCGTCGAACGCGTATATCCGTTCCTTGACCAAACTGATGGCTTTCTCAAAATGCATATATGTGGCGCTCGTCCGCAAAGGGTTAACACTTTGTCGACCGCTGTCGCGCAGGCGTGACTTCTGTTCAGCGCGGCAACAATGCTTTCATTATGTTTCTGTTTTAACTGTCCCGATCGTCTTTTCTTGATATTCTTTAAGCAGATGCTTGTTCTGTTCGTCTCAGATCTTAGTACCTTTTTTTAATAATAACCATATCGCATGTACGAAGGATAGCGTAAATATGACCGTCAGTGAGCAGCAGAATCCGTGCGAACTTTGCCGGCGGCAGCGAAATTGTATTATTCAGTTTATAATTTCGTTTTAGGTTTTATGTATTATTCTACAAATATCGTTATATGTTACAGAACATCATCCAAATGATTGTCAGGCCCGAAATGCATATGGATTATTATTGGAAAGGCTGAAACTTTATAAATCAGCCGCAGAACAATTTGTTGAAGCTGTATCTATTAGTGGCAATGACGAGAAAGACCTGGTTCGTATAAATCTGGCACGTGTGTTAATACAAATAAAAAAATATAAGGAAGCTATAAAATTAAGTCAAACAGTTACGAATGCCAATTATAATTCTAATTGTCATTTGGCATTGGCTTTATTCAAAGGTAATCACACTTTTATATTAATGTGCTTTTGTTAAATACATAAACATTAGTATTTCGTTAGTGAGGTTTAATTCTAGTAAGTAGAAATTAATTAACTCGTATTATAGAACAGTGGAAAAATTGACAAATTTTGAACCAAGTTAGCAACGAAACTTTATGTCGTATGTGTTTCGACAAATCCGAATTATATAATTATTTATCCAGGAGATGATAGGAAAGCTATAAAAAATAAGAGTAAACTTAGAAACAACGCTACTACAATATAATCGCTTAATCGTCATTCATACATCGTAATATAATCACTTGGTTAACATACCAGTTTGAATTGCGAAACGATTATATTGCAGATGAATTATTATTAGAAGGTTATTATCTATTTATATCTATGATTAAACAGGTATTTATATTAACGATAGTCCCAATTTTACTTTTTCTTCTTTCTATGTAATGGTGTTATGTTTAAGAAGTAAAATTTCTAATGCAATATCTGCATATGGGAATGAAAGTGATATAAGTTACATTTCCGTTTCGCGAAATTACGGGGGTTAAAATTGAAAATAGATAAAAGTCAGACAGAAATATTCAACCACGAGTAAGTGATGAATTGTTAGATTCAATAATAAATATCCTACATTTTCTTGTAAAGTAACACCTGCGAAGTACAACTTTCGTACAATGCAAAAATAATGTATTCCTAATATTAACATTGCACAAAAATTTTGTTTTCAACAACACCTTCCGTTTTCAAAGAAAGACAAAGACTCTTCGTTATCTTTGTTTTTCGTAGATTCAGTATTCAGTAGTGAAGCATTTAAATAAAACGTAATGTATAATTATAAAATGAAATTAGTGGTACGAAATGTAATATATCCAACATGCTTTTCCTTTTTGTATTAGTTAAATAATTTTGCAAATTATTTTAAATCACATTTAAATCACGTGAACCACAATTCTCGAATGTAAGAAATTACATGTTAATGCGTGAAAAATGACGAGGACCACGAATATCAGAACAAATTATCATGAAAAATGAGTTTGTTTTGATACATTTTTTGGTATTAGAAAAAATGACGAAAATGCTAGGATTGTGAGTTGATCAGTAATCATAAAGAGTATTTTATCATTTAAGAATAACATATTTTAACAATACGATGAAAGTATACACACTAACAGATCATATAAAAAGGAAAAGAAAGAAAAAAATACTTTCACACTATGCTTTTTTATGTTTTATGATAAACTTACATCCCAAGGATATATAGGATAAAGTAAACACTCTGTATATGCATTTCCTTTTTTTTTTTTGTATAAAATTCATTATATTGTAAAATTTGTCAAACTTGAATTTATGCTCTCTTACTGTTTATTGTTCGAAACAATAATTAATTATATTAATCCTTTGCACCCGAGAGGTGAGTGCTCTCCGCTCACCACTTGATTTCATGCGGAAACTCGATGCGCGGCGATGACTATTTATGTTTAGTTTCTTTGGAACGGGTTCCTAAGCTCTTATTATATAATCTTATAAAGTGTAGAATGACACCCCTTCAAATGGAAATAAAATTTTCTTATCCGAAATTGGCCCACAACTACGAACCGGACTGCATTTTCGGCATTAGTTCGAACTTGACAGTCATGGCAAAAGTACTACTAAAGTTAAAGATTTTGATCCCTATAAGCATGGAACGTAGTAATGAAGTAAGCTCAAGTGAAGATGAGTTTGATTTAACGTTGCTTAACGAGGAAATTGTATCTATACACAACGAGCTTGACGATACAGAGAATAACAGCAGTGCTGATGATAGTGACGAAGTAAGAAGTGTAAGAAGGCGAAAGGTCAGAGTAATCGATATTGACACTACAGACGACTCACAATCAGACAGTTCTAAATGGATTAGTTGTACTGAATCTGAAGAAATACCTTCAAGAATACCATTCATAGCCGGTGACACTCCTGCAGTGATCGAGTCTCGACTTCAACCTCCGATCCCGAAGACATCCGTTTGAATAGAAAGCTGCCTAATATTCTAACAGGAGTTAGGAAGGATTGCAAAGTCTGTTCTCAAAGAAATAAGCCCGGCAAAAGACATAAAACATCATATTATTGTAATATTTGCTCCGACAAGCCGGGCATGCATCTTGGCAATTGTTACATAAAATATCATACACAGCAAAATTACAGAGACTAATATTTAAGAAATTATCTTCATAAAGGCGTAAATATATATATATAGCATGTTAAAATATAAAAGTTTTATACATTAATTTGTGTGTGTAATCATTTTAAGTTAGGGGTAAGAAACTCGCCAAGAATGCTGCGAAACGTCTCGAGTTGCTGGTTCGCGGCGCGAAAAAGGCCTCGAGTGCAAAGGGTTAATTATTAATTTTATAACCGCAGTAAGAATTCACCATCCAACGCTATTTCTTTGTTTCTTTTTCTTAACTGCAGTAACTATTTATAAACATTTTTCATAATTATTTAATGCTTCAAAATATTATAATCATAGATACTGATGTATTCAGAAACTTCTCCTCAGAGATCATTTAACACCAATTATAACTTTCTAACGTTTTTAATTCTTACGTAATATTTCGTTTTTGTTAAAAATCGGCAGTCTAGAAAAATTCGATTTTTGTCAAAAAACGGTGTAATACAGCAATACAGCAATGTAATACAGCTTACGGATTCGTGTTCAGGGCGAGTAGCTCTAGGAAAATCAGCAAATACACATTGTAAAAAAAAAAGGGGGAAAAAAGTAAAAATTTGACGAATAACGTTATAGAACAATTTTTACGTAACAAAATATTAATAATTATTATTGCGGAATATTACTTCGGAACCGTTTTGCAACATTTTCTTTGTGCATTGAAATGTTTCGTTGTCTCTTTCTACTCTTTTATAACAAGTATACTTGTTTCTATAGTATTGGCTATCTCTTCATTTGCAATCACTTGTAAACATTTGACGTACTAGTTCCAATGTACCGTACATCTAAATTAGGTATATACGTATATATCATTTGTAACATGTAAATGTATCAGAAATATTGGAAATATCAAAAGCGGAATGCATACAAATTTCACTCTCAGCGTAATTATATTTTGCTTGAGTTGGAAGTATCTAACAAATTTTAATTAATTTGGTTGAGAAACAAAGGAGAAACCATTTTCTTACATACATGACAGCATGATTTTTATTTTATTTCTATAATCCTTCTAAAACCTGCAAGTATTATATGAAATTATAGTAATACATGTTCTACATTATCCATAGAAATGTATAATGCAGCTGTGATACTCTGAAATATATTTTTGCTTACAGCTTCCAGAAATCTTTCTAATATGATTAATTTCACTTGCATCTTATAAAATTGAACTTATTGTTGCTACGTACACTTAGCGTTAAAAAGTTTCCGTTCACTACTTACGTTATTCTTTTATTTTGCAGTATTTGAAAAAGAATTGTACAAGGGGGTTATGCGTGTAATTTTTGTTTAATTACTGGTCTGTAGAAGTGTGGAGTATAAAAATGTCTGTCGACAATGCTGTTAGTTTGTTAGAAAAATGGAATTTCAATTTATTCCATGACTATCAAAGCTACGTGAATTTTTGTACATTCTGAAGAATTTTAAACATGTATAAATCAAGGTTTGTGCACACTTGAAGTATCTTAGTTCCGTAGTAGTATGCATAATGGATAGCCAGGTCTTCAAAATATAAAGTAAAATGAAAACTCCAAATGCACATCTCGAGTAAATAAGTAATTTACTGTAGAAAAAGAGAACATTCATGGAAACGAATGGAAAAAATAATTGAAAGTTATTTTCATTCCTTTCTTTATATCTAGAAAAACTTCATACTGGTTGGATATTAAATCAAAGAAATTGGAATCTCACGATAAGCATGGTGTTTTAACACTTTCCATCGTGCATTTCTCGCAAGTTATGCATACTAATCTTCACTAATTAAAGGACACAAAGAACGCATGAAGGTGATTTGAACCGGTTAATTAATGAAATTAAAAATAAATTACATAATTTTTGTAATTGAATGAACAGAAGCAGATACCTCTGCTGCAGTGTACAGAAATATAACGGAAAACTAACAAAATATCAAAAGAGAAATAATAACTAAAATGCATTGCTAGGAGAAACGCGGGAGACGTCTACAGTCGGGCGTGTAACGATTTCGAAACGAGGAAGTTTCTCCATTCGGTGTGGCAGCGACTGACTTCGAGACAGGGAGATTTCCCAGCTCGGTCGGCTAAGTGTTAAGAAAAATAAGTGAAAAACCAAGAAGGAATGCACCATAATTAATATGAACGTTTTAGAACCATTGTAATATAAAATTTGCATCTCACACTATGCAAAATGTTATTAAAAATGCTTGATATAGTGAATGGATGACTGAAATCAAATGATCCAGCAAGCATATAGTGAAAGCCTAATAAACAGGTGATAACGAAAAAAAACTTGCGACTGAAAAGAAAGCTACGGTGGTGGCGGCATTTTAGTTTGAATGTCTATCAGTGGGAATGAGATCGGAGAATTGATTATTATTGACGGGCGTTTAAATATGTTATAAAATAATATCTATGGATTCTGAATGTACCCACCCACGAATGTAAATCAATTTCACTCGCATTATAAACATAACTAGATTAATTTTCTTAACACACTATTTTCATGCACAATATTGTAGGAATGGATGTGGCGGGTATAAAGCTTTCCCTCCTTTCTTAATAATGTTTCTTGTATATTAGATAAAATATAATTTAAAATCAACTGTTAGAAACTGAATCTCGTAAGTGACTTTCTCAAGATCAATTCCTATGCAGAACTGACTCTTAGAATGATTACTTGCAAAACTCAACTGACTCTCGCACCCCTTGGCATTCATTTTTATATCCATTCATAGTATGCATTGCCAAGCGTCCAAAGATTCCAGGTGTGTTTTAGGAACTTATTCTTTCTTCAGGCGCCACTGACAATCTAGTATAGACATTGTCATTCGATCCGCTGTTACGCAGTTCCGACACTCGTTAATACCACAATATTAACCTCTGTATATCTATATAATAATGTTGGATACTATCCCGAGGAGAGAAATCGCGAATCGGCCAATGCCGATTCGGGATTTTATTTTAGAAAAAACAAATTGTAAACCAGTTAATGACCTATGCGTGGTATTATTCTAGAAAGAAATCAAACATCAACCGATACTGTTATAAAATGCTATTTTTAGAAGCAAAGCTAAGTTGCATGAACGCAGGTCAACGGAATCGTAATCGTCACGGGGAGCAAATCGTGGATCGGCAAGGTGGCATGATTTTCACGAATTATATCAGCGATATAATATAATTATAATCCATATCGATGAATTATATCAGCCAATTAGCGCTCGATGGAAGCACGTCACCGAGTTTTTTCAAGGGGTCTATAAAAATGGGACCCATGACGGCAGGCGGGGGGGGGGTCTTGAGTGAAGAAACCTCGAAGAATCCTTGTGTAAATAGTTTGTGACCGTCACGGGCGCGAGTCGTTCGGTGTCTGAGAGAGACGAATAAAAGCTTGTTTTCCGTGTGTTATAGTTACGTTAATTTAGTATTACTTTCTTGCGTTAAATTAGTGTCCTAGTTTAGTGTTCGTTTTATTCTGTTTATATTGTTCTGTCCGTTTTCGGTGTCTCAAACCGTTCGCGCAGATCCGATATTCCTCCGATAAAAGAAGGAACACATATATATTATTTCTATAAGCGGAAGACAAAATAGAACCTGTGTGTAGGACGGTATCCTATAATAACGTTTAGACTTTTGGTCTTGATATTCTCTTTTATGATTTTTATTTCTCCTACTTTGATTTTCGATTTGTTTCTGCATGCACCTTCCTCGATGTCTGTCTTACTATAATTTCCTTATCGCACTTTTTCCAAGTAATTGTACGGTTGAAATTTTTTGCGGCCAATGCAATACTGCATTAAAATTCCAAGGACTGGAAGAATCTTAAATTTAATTACTTCAATAACTGTAGTAGTTTCTGAAATATCTAAAAGTTATGAAAGCATGTATTAATTGTTTAATCGTGTATGAATAATTTTGAAAAATTTCGATTGAAAAAATGGTGAAACAAATGACAGGTTTCGTATTATCAAGATTGTGTTGTCAACTAAAACGGGAAAGAAGAATGTAAATTTTCAGCAAAGAGGAAAATAATCAGTATAACATGATGAAACAAATATGAAAAGGTGATATCCGATGATAAAATCATAACGTATTGTAGCTTATACATTGTTATAAAGGCGTTTATTTCTTTGCACAATAAAAATCTGTTAATCATTTCGATGGTTTATAGATTTTCTTCACAGTCTTAATCGATACTTGCATCCCGATTCTCGATATCATAGAGCAATAGTATCAATCAAAAGAACACATATAGATATCTCTCAAATTTACAGTAAGAGTTACAATAATATCACCCTCGAACTGGAACGTTTAATTTAGTACTGTTTCATTTATCGAAAAAGTTTTTCAACATTATTTATCATTGTATACATCCAAGGTAGTGTACTTTCCTTAATTCGATACTAATTACAGAAGTAAGTGGTAACAAATTGTTGAAATAATTTAGTAATTAGATAACATACAGTAACATAGACAAATTATAGATGAATTTATTTTATCACGGAGATGACAATAATAAAAGTTAGTGTCATAAAATTATGAAAATTAGCAACAAAGCATTAATTACAAACTGATAAATCTTTTCTCATTTTTAATCAAGAATATATTATGAGTATGATTTATTTTATATAAAAACTTGTTTCTTTTTCAGCGACACAATATGTAGCGGCTTATGACACATATGAAGCAACGCTGATTTCGTTTGCTGATACTGATACAAAAAAAGCGTATACATTGTGTGCATTGGCCTCAATAGCATATACTTATGAAAGAGTAGATGATGCAAAAACATTGTTGTTTCAATCCATACAGATCAAAACACCAGTTATAACAGGTCTTTTAGCCAGTGCATCATTAGGAATATTGCACAATGATGAAGATTTAACTGCATTGGTGCTAAACGTTTTGAAGTTGTATGAAAATCACTGTGAATATGGACACCACGTTGTGAACTTATTTGCATATTCTCATATAATCGGAAACAATGCGAAAAGTGCCATTACTAATCTCTCTAAATCAATTCATATGTATCCTGGTAAGTAATACGCATACATTTTATAATTTCAACCAAAGAGCCTTTATTGGTTTTAAAGTCAATTTAATTGACTTGATTCGTAGTTACTCTAACAACGTTAGTCTTTGTGAAAAGTAAAACGTGTTGCGATAAAAAAATTCAATTCATTTCTTTGTTTTTGAAAAGACCTGTCAATGTTGCGACATCTTATTATATCCAGGGTGTAGAATCGACCTATTGTACTCGTGATATATAATTTCTTTAATTTCTTTACTTCACCTGCATGCTACAGTATACCCTATTTAATGATAGAATATAAATAAGTTTAGAAAGCGGGCTGCAATGACTAATATGATAAAAGCATATGGGAAACGAAAATATTAGAAAGAATTTTTTAATATATCGGCAAATATAAAAGGAGATGTTAAAGAATGTCAGATAAACATATGACACCTTGTATATTACGAAACACATCATAAGTGAAATATTTGTATAAGAGAACATAGTTTTTTCTTCCATTATTATCTCTTAATGTTATAAAACGTTTGAAACTGTTGTAATTTACAGCGGGCAAGGAACAGTAATCGTTTTCCTATTCTACTCTTAATATATTTATTACAAACTTACACAATAAAAGTAATTCTTAATTCTGATCGCAATTTGACTTGCAAAAGGTAAAGTACAATGTCTCATTTGTCTCACGAACATAATTGTTCTCGAATTTCTTGTAAATATCATTGAGAAAAAGTACATGTGTACAATTTTTGAAGAAATCAGGTGTGTTTCGTTTACAGCGATAAAGACAAGGGTATTTGCAATAAATTGCTAAATCAAGCATATTTCAGTCAAAAATTTACACATTTATAAGATTTTGCATTGCACAGATTCATACCTAATATGCTCAGCAATTTATTCTGCCAGGAAAACTTTTTATTATGTATACCATCACACTCTTACTTTATAAGTACATAGTTTGCTGGTTGGTGACGGCCTTACATGTCTCAATTTCACTACACTTACCTTTAAATTATTTCGCACCATTACGATATACGTATTAAGATTTATTATTCCATCTATAAATATAATGTTTCAAACACTACTGTAAGCCATATCATTACGCTTTCTCCGTCATGCTTCACAATTAGTTTAATATTTTTTTGTCAGTATTGGATTCCTACAGACAAATCTCTTTTCATCTGACCTAAAAACATGGAATTTCGATTGATCTGAGAATATAATACATCTCTAAAATACAATGGGCTTATTTACATATGTTGTAGCGAAACTTGATCGCTTTTCCGTATTTGTATTATTAATATATGGTTTTCGCTCTCGCGGCTTTGCAATATATTTCAACAGAATGCAAAATGTTTCGTACAAATGGATTTTTCGTAGCCTCTTTAATTATATATACTCCGACGTTCTCTAACCGTGAATATTCTTGGCCAACATGTCGTGGCTGATTTTCTGTAGTTTCCGTTATTTCATACTTTTTAACAATGTATTATACTGTTGTAAAGCTTAAATTCAGTTCTTTACCTATTTTTCTATAACTTTCTTCGCGTTTTTGGAGAAAATCTATTGGAGAATTTTTGTATCTATCACTGATACAGGATTTCACTTTTCTTCACTGTCATGATGCCTCGACAGAGTTCAAAGATGTATTAGCGACACACAGAACAGGTAAATGCTGCTAGGTAAACAAACAGTTGTTTATGTGTTAGTCAGAGTTGCGGCGATACATATGTGCTTTTTAAAATTTAGCTATCGAATTATAAGTGTACGAATACTCCTTTTTCCTCTCAAATTGCTATATTCTCTGCATTGCTTTTTTGTTATGCGTTAATAAGAATTTTTCATTTGCATATTATTTCTCTACATACTAAACTAGTCGATATAGCTTTTGTATTTGTTTGTATACTATTTGCTTGTATAAAGTTATAGGAAAAAATCTAGGTGTACGAATACTTTATTGACCCACTGTATACTTTCCTCTATAAGAAGGTAAATGTTTTTTCCTGTACGATAATATGTATGTAGGGTATTTTTAGAGTTCGAAACTGAGTGCATGGGAACACTTGGATCTTCCTCGAATATGAGGAGTAATAAACAGGTCTTAGGTTCAGGTCAAACGTTCAGGGTGACATCTGGGGTGCACGTGAAAAGACAAGTGACCGCACGCAAGGATTGTACCGAGTAAGCACAATGAGCAAAAGTTAGGAATGCATCTGAGTGTTTGAAGCCCCCCCCCCCCAAGGCAAGGTCGCGTAGGAAATGAGTGATCTAGAAAAAATCCTTGCGTGTGACAGAAAAGAGACTGTTAGATTTAATTAAGAGTGCTAGGGCAGTCTTTAGAAGAGTTTATGAAGAGCCGGTAGAAGAGAGTCTTAGGCGGATTTTGGTGTGCGTAGTTGAAGAAAGCAGGTGAGAGTGTCCATCGGTCGTGTAATCATAATAATCAGTCTGTAGTCTAATCTTTTACTTATACTTTCCTCCTAATTTTATTTAACTCGCAATAGATATACGTATTAGAATAAAATTACACCTCTTGTTCTTTATATGCCAATAATATTATCCCTACATGTATTAGCTTTTCCCGCAGACGGCAACATTTTTTTTTCACGTAGCGAAATAATGAAATAAAATGCTTTCTTGTGGCATAAGTGAAACGTGCTACTATACATAAGAAAGTTAAAATATATTTCTCTATGTAACTAGTTGAATTGTGCTTTTCTAAATATGACAAATGAAACGCGCTACTTTTCTTTACGCACATAGAATTAATATCGAAAGCATGAAATTCGGAAGAATAAATTTTCATTTATTTCACGTGAAGCTATATAGTCATAAGGTGAAACATTGCTAACTTCACGCAGTTGTAATTATTCTTCGATAGAAACAACATTCACGTAACACTTATGTTTAGTGGCCAAAGAATGTCATGTTGAACATTTAGTAACCTGATTCTTAAATTGGAATATCTATTGTAGCAGCTCTTGCCGCTTTGCCTTGAACATACATCGTCGTAATTTTTTAATTAATATTTGGAATAAGAGAAAATATGTTTGAAATATATGTTATTAAGTGTGATAGTGGATAAATATAATAGATGTATATTACATTTTTTTTTACTTTACATGATACTCTACAATTTCTCCAATAGGGACATTTGGTAAATTGATATAGCAGTTTGAGTCAATAACGTGTAGATGCTTCTTCATAAGCCAGGACTTACACAGTAGGTACAGCGTATATTGTTTAAGAAGGAGGCCCTTTGGATTTTTCCTGTGTAATCGTTTAGGAAAATTTTGACCTGATACTGACTTAATTCTCATATCTTTGCGTAATTCGTCTTTACGTATTAATCATGGGGCATTGGGGAAGATTCAGAGAATAATGGATTATAACACTTCAAATTCAGCTAATTTAGTAGTGAGCGTAAAAAGTATTCGTACAGTGACTAATCATTAATAAAATGCTTAATAATAATATTTGTTAAATAATATTTTTTAAACAAACATGTTACATTTGTTCTCCAAGCTCTGTGGAACAACAATATTAAATGAACAAGAAAAATATTCATATTGTTTATATAAATAACAAGAAAAATGAACAAGATAACAGAAATGAATGCGTAATAAATATTCGTACCAGTTACACCCTATTACATTTACTATTCAATGTTTGTAGTGTAAAGTTTCAAGTTAAAGTTAAAATTAATTTCAAATATCGTTTACTTATAGTAATCGGCTTGAAAACATTGTAATTGTAGCAGCGATATATAGAATAGTATTTATCATCACTGTAGCAACATTCTTCTACTGTAGAAGAACGAAAGATAATTATTAATTTGCATAGCAGTGCAAAAGTTTATCCGAAATATTGTATATTGTAAAATGACCAAAATCTACGATATAAGGAATCATAAACAAATACGGATTACGGAAAATATTACAAAATCATGCGAGAAGTGGACGGCCGCGAAAAATTTTTGAACGTAGTGGTCGTATTATTATTCGATTCATTAAAAACAATCCGAAAATGAGTGCAACAAAGATGGCTGAAGAACTTAAAAATAATTTAAACATCATTGTATCTTCTAGTATTGTACGTCATTTTTTGCAAAGTCAAGGTTACCATGACAGAACAGCTGGACGGAAATATGCGAATGAAAGGAATAGAAAGAAGAGATTGGAATTCGCACAAAATTACGTAAAAATACCGATGGAGTTTTGAAATGGGATCATCTTCACGGATGAGAAAAAATTTAACATTTTTTGCTCCGATGGACACATCGCATTGTGGAGAAAAAAAAATGAACAGTATAAAGAACTCAGAACTCAGAACTTGCAGCCGACAATAAAACATGGTGGTGGTTCAATATGTGTGTGGGGCTGCATGAGGGTCGCAAGTTTGGGTGAATTTCATTTGGTTAACGGAACAATGGATCACAAAATGTATATTAATATTTTGGAAACTCATCTGCATTCAAGTATTGAAAAAATAAAATATTAAAAGTAATTTTGTGTTCATGCAAGATAATGATCCTAAGTATATACCGCTTGCAATAAAGGAATATGGATTGCATATAATATTTATTATTATATAGCACATTTAAAAACTTTCCCACAATCACTGTTGAATATTTATGTCATTAACCCTGTTGAACATTTATGGGATTATCTGGAATTTGATTTAAAACAGACTTGAAAAGTGCCTTTTCAATACTTCGAAGGCTAGCTGGTATAAAAAAATCAAAGAGAAACTCTACGAAATGTTAATTATAAATATTAATTTTATAATCATTCTTTATCTTTATCATTTTGTTCATTTTCCTTGATATTTATATAAACAATATGAATATTTTTTCTGCTTATTTAATATTGTTGTTCTATAGACTTCAGGGAATATATGTACCATGTTTGTTTAAAAAATATTGTTTAATAAATATTATTATTCCGTATTCTAGTTGTGATTAGTCACTTTTACACCTAGTGTATATGACTTTTGGCTACCATATCCTACAATTCAATGTTGTATGTGCATATTGGCTTGCATTATTGGCTTAAACATATATATATTACAATTTATGTTTTTCTCTATGCACTCTTTAAATTCATTGCAATTTGAACTATTGTTACACAAAAAAGAAGTTTCTTTATCAAGTACTGTTTTATGCAAGTAACAAACCAATATGGCATAATGATCAGAATAAGATCGTAGAAAGATTGTGTAGGAAACTCAGTTTTGTGTAGTCGTCCGTTGGTTACCTTTTTGTATAATTGGTCGGGTGCTTTCTCCTGTGCTGATGGCCAGTATTTATATTCACCGGTGGTCATTGTATCCAAGAATAATTTTCTTATAATTTTCTGTTTGTAACAGGATTCTTCCTTGTGTTGAGTTAGTTTTGAAGCCCGATAAATTTAAATTAAATTTAAAGTTTAGCATTATAGTCTCCATCAGCAATGAATTTATTTCCTAGTAAGTTAAAAAAGTTAGCGTGTCGCATAGATATTTTGTGTTTGGGAGGGCAATAAACAGCGGCTCTGCTGATGTTGCCATTATTGTGTGGATAGTCACAGCAGCGGCTTGTATGCGAGTGTCTATGACTGAGTGGTGTGTATTATGTTTGATATATTGTTTGATAATAACAGTTGAGTATTACATCATTGAGTATTACATTATCGTGTAAAAAAACTTTCAATTTTAGTATTCTGTGTTGCAACTCGCTTGCATTTCAAATTGCGATTTTTAGTATATCCATTATTGTTTGTTGCTAATAACGAATATAAGAAGTTCTATCATTTTGTTAATTCGTGGTGATTGTTGGTTTAAGAGTTTGGTTTGTTCGAGAAGCATGTTAGTTATTCGTTGTGGGTTTTTGGCTGATGTTATTGGTAATTTTTTTTTATTTCTCATATATATAATGCTGCTTCCTGGTTTCGTATGGTGGAAAGTATCTTTTTCTGTGATTCAACAATTTGTGCGTAGGCCTTACAATTAGTGTTTGTGTTATATTGTTGGCTAGGAGAATGTTTTTGTTACTGCCTTCGGTGACTGTTTGATTTTGGGAAATTAAATTTCCTGAAGTTGTTTTGCACCAGTCTAGGAAACAACTTTTGTTGTAATTTCCTAGTAGTATAACCTTTCATAGCTAGCAGGGAAATTTTCCTGACAGTTGTATCATCTGACATTTTGTATTTTTCCTTTGAGGGGCGGTTTGAAGTTAAATTTGAAATTTGAAGCTTGCCGGAACATTTGACGCATGCGAGGGTTCAGTTATAAGAATTCATAGTGTCTTCGTGCGTTTGACAGCGTAAACATTGAGGAATACCTCTTTTAGTTTCCGGAGGCTCGGAGGATACTATATTGTTTAGTAATTTATCAACTTTATATATTTCCTTTTTATTTTCATTGGTTTCGAGATCAATTAAGAAGCGCGGCAGCGGTTGTTCTGTGTCGTATTTTGTTATATTATTTATTTACCTTATCTTATGGTTGAATTTTTCTAACACGTCAGTTATTTCACTGATGCCTGTTTTAGGGTGCGCTTCTATTTTTCTTTAACTGGTAAAAGGAAAATTTGCATTGGCAACTTCGTTCAGTGGTGGTCTTAATACTAGTTTAACGGTTTCTGTTGCTACGTTTTCTGTAGTTTCAGCAGTGAACGCATCCTGTCGTAATGCATTGAAATAATTTTCAATTTTCAATTGATATCATTTATTAACCGATGGATAGGTAGACAAATTTTATATGCTTTTTCAATGTAATTTGTTCCCAGTTGCTAGTTACCGAATTACGGGTTTTCATTAAACTTGACGTAGCTTTTGAGTTATTATTTGTTTAATCAGAATGATGCAGTTTCTATCGACTTTGGATATTTTTAATTACATGTTATCCATTTCTTGCAACTTTGAACTTGAATTTGCCCAAGGGCAAGTTTTTCGCCATCACATTGACACTAATATTTACAAATGTATTAATACTCGAACACTCTCGAATATCAAATTGCTTCGCATAAACACGTCTTGTCGCCACGACAGTTCAAACAAGACTCGAACATTAAATGGAAATCGAAAATGTTGTATTATAATATATTTTATTTAGAGAAAATGAGGAGAGTGGAAATTTATTATATACCAAATGATCCGATTTAATGCAATTTAATTCAGAAAGGAAATTCTAGTCGATATTTTCTTATCTTACAATTAGAAGAAAACTTTTAGAATATTATAATATTATTATATCGACTCTGTTCAGTTATTATGTAATAATAATTATGTTTTCGAAATAAATAACAGGAATAAACAAATGAATAAATCATGTAAACATTTCTCTTCTGACAAATACATCTTATATTTAATTTTGCCTATAATCTTATCTAACATATACAATCTTGCGTCACATATATATTAATGAATATTTTTATATTATTTTTTATTAATGTTCTTTGTTATTTCCATTTTCATTTGCAGATGACGTGAGGTATTGGGTTCCATTACTCAGAATATTACAGAAAACTGATTTACAGACTTTCAGCAAATGTGCTCAGAAGGTACTCCGTCTTAACAAAGATATTGCTACTGGACACCACCCACATGTTGCGTGTGCTTTATCCATTAATTGTTTCACGCAAATTTTAATACCAAAACATATAAGATCAGTTCAGAAACTTTTATTTACTTATCCTGGTCATGTTGAAAGCTGGGCCATGTTCATCGCAACATTTTTATCAAGGTTTGAGTATAAACTTAATCGTATTTACTTAACACTCATGTAATTTAATTTAATACTTGTAAGAACATTCTGTAACTTACATTTTGCACTTCTTTTGTTTCTTTTTTAATAGTTCAGTATTATCCTTAATGTAGCGATTCAACAAATTATAATACTTTGTCTATTTTGCAATATGTGCTAATAACATATTTTTTAAGTCAGTTAAGTAGTTAAGTAGTTGCGAATTGGGTTCAGTTACAAAGTAATTGCCTTAAAACATTACGAAGTGATTCGTGGATGTATTTATGATCATAGTTATAATATTTGATACACCAAAATGATAACAATCAAAAAGAATATTTACTTAATTACAAAAATTATATTCATACGAATAACTATTTGAGCAAAGAATAGAAACAGCTACATTAGACACGATAGAGATATAATGTATGTACGCTGCATAAATGCATGTACGCGGATTCTTTTAAACATGCAACGTGAATTAGAGGCTTAAAAATTATTTTCAGTGTTAGAACAAATAAAAGATTCGAACAATTGATAGTACATATGAATATGGCATTGCTTTACATGATAATACAAGTTACGGTTACCGACTATCATCCGCACCGTAAATGCGTAATTTTCTTTAATAATATTGTAGGATACTTTTAGACTTCATTAAGGTGCGGTGGTCGAAGTGTCCCTTACTTCCCGTTCTGGAAGATACAGACAGTCTTTAAGAGTTCGAGAGTCGTTAAGATAGAGAGTTCGAGAGTTGTTGAGATAGTCAGTGTAAAGCATTTAGTGAGTGAATCGAGTCAGTTAGAGTTAGCTCCAGTTCTTAATCAAAGAAAATTTTTAGCCGAAGTACTCTCCAGTGTATTAGAGACTGCGTGACTATACAATATTAAATAAGTTAAAAGAGAAGTTGCGTATAACCATTGTTTCTTTACGTAATGCTAAAATGTATCGATGCATCGTTATATCAAACAGTCTGTGAATTGAATTCGTAATTTAAAAAAAGCAGGAAAAAGATTCTTCTTTATTATGAGGAAGTAAAATTCTGCGAACATACGTACATGTCTAGTTTGATTTCAGTTTCACTACTACTAAAGTTTTTATACTCTAATAGCTTTTACGTAGTATATTGGTATTTGTATAAAATCGTTTCTAAAATATTTCGTAAAAATGCAAATATAGTACGAAAAGATTACATTTACGCGACGCGTATGCTTATTGTAACGAATAATTAATATTAACGCTTAGAAAATATTGAAATTCATACGAAAACTTTAAAATTGTATACTCTAATATTATACGAGAATATTATGATTGTTGAAAAATAAAACAAGGAATCGATATTAATATTTTTTACTTGATAAAAGATTAGATAGAGATTTCGATGATGGCTTTACTTTTTATCGCTGTGACATGCGTTGTCTACGAATTTCCCATTGCAAGAAATGCAGTATTGCCTGTTCTTCTAATTTCTTGATTCTTCTTGATTTCTTGATCTTTTCCTTTGGAAAACTTTACCAACAATAATCTGCTACTTCAAAAAATATGATGAATCTCTCTATAATTAAAGCTTATGTTGCTATTACATCAACAGAATATCACAATCAATGGTTATCCGTTTTATGTCTGGTAGAGCTCCAGTCGCGCGCTCAGATTTACTGACGCAAGTACATCACACAGCTCCTTCTCTAATGTGAATAATACATTCTACAATGAGAACAATACTATAATAATAGTGCAATAATACATTATAAATTAAAACATTTTGTATTGCTATCGCGCGGCTTGGGATTTCTCGACATCAAATGAAAAGAAGCGCTGTTGCGCTGCTTGGATTTCGTCGTACTCACCTAGAGAAAGCGCGGTCGCGCTGTTCGGGATACTCTGACAGTGTTTTTCCAAAACCCTCTAGAACTCAAACGGTTAATTTCAATTGAATAAAATAAATCATCTCGTGTTCAAACTGTAAATCATGTTTTACCCTATAACAATTTTTCTACTAAGGGTAACAGGTTCACACCTGACAGAGAAGGTTTCCTTTTGTAGTCCTGTCCGATTAATAAGTATCAGTTTAGTTTAATTTGGGGACACTTTTCATGCTATTCAGCTATTTGCCTTTCACTTATATCTTATGATATATTTTCTCGCATTTAGTATATCTAGGAACTTTTTATGCAACTCTGCGTGAATTTTTTCTATTCTTTTTTTAACATGTCTAATGGTGTTCGTACATTTATTCCGTATCTCGAAATTAAGTTACTTTATCGAATGTGCTTGTCTACTACAGTGTATCATACACTTGCAGAATTTGCTCAACGACTGTATATCCTTATTATTCTTCGTTTTCATATGGTACATTTTAATCCTCTGGAAGATCTTTTATTTCTTACCGACCTTTATTTCTGAGGAGTAATACGTTTAAAAATTTTGTTTATATTTATTTAATAACAAAATAATTTATGCCAATACGTAGAAATCTTCATTTTTACACACTTTCTGCTTCTGCTTCTAGAGGAAAAAGCCATCGATCGTGATCCTGATATCTATCTATTATTTTCTCACATATCCATAGATGGCAACTTTTATTTCATTTCTCACGTACCGTCTAGAAATAGATCATTCAATAATTTCTAAGCTATTCTTCTTGAGAGATCATTAGCAGTAATTATCAAATCTTCACAAATGAGGGGTTTCATCATTTTGCTTACTATGAAGTCACTACATGTTTTGAAGAATTTGTCAGTGTTGCATAACATAAGTCAAAATAATCTTTCAGCTGAATCATTCCGTTGTGGCGTGTATTTAACTGTTTTCTTTGTATGCTCTTTTTACTTTCCTTTTTTGCCGCAATGTTTACTTACATATTTCAGACTATAGTCATTTCTCAAAGTTTAATAACTTTTTTCAAAGTGGTTTCCAGCTAAATTTGAATCCACAGAGTGCATCCATTACTTCATTCTTAGTTCTGAGGAAATGAATTTCAACGTATCGTGCTTGGTTGCATATACATGTAACATATAACATGTTACATGTAACATATGTTGGAATAAAATAACTTATCGAATACTGTTGGTCAATGCATTAAGAAATCTGCAATCTTTTACAGTTGAACGTAATACGTTATTATATACTTAATTACGATAGGGTGCTTTATACTGTGCGTGTGCGTGTGCGTGCGCGTGCGCGTGTGCGAGAGAGAGAGAGAGAGAGAGAGAGAGAGAGAGAGAGAGAGAGAGAGAGAGAGAGTTTTTACATTGCACGCTATCTCGTCGTGCGACAAATCAGACCCTAAGTTGTTTTACTTGTCATATTCGATATTTTCGATTTTATCCTTTTACGGTACACTTTTGCAAACCGTTCCTTATTTCCTCGGGTCACCGGGTACGAGGCATTCGTTAGCGACTACTTTTAGAAACCAGGCAACAGCACTTAGGATTTGGCTGACAATGGGCCTGTAAAAGAAAGGACCAGGCCATGTGCGATAGCTACGACTTTCGAAGTCATAGATTCAGCGTTACCTCTCAAGAAGGGTCACGAATGTGGGAGTGACTGTCCAACAATCCCACTCTGAAGGAGGGATTTCCTCCACCAGCAACTTTGTCGTGGATGACGTTCTTCCTTTCTTTGGGGGCAACAGATTTGTGGAATGAGGGCCCACCTTCGGTCCGAATATCTGCTGTTGCATTGAATTGGCGGACACGTGTTTCTATAAATACAGAAACAAATGAACAGATATATATTTGATAATATGAGACGGTACAAACTATAAGTACAGTATTTCTCTCCATCTACGCACTATTCCATAACACGGTTAAATCGCGATTCCCGCACGAGGCACGTAATCCCTACAGCCTAACGATACTACTAACGTTTTTTGTTATCAGTTGCTCACGCGTTATAGCCGGGATTTTGGAATTCCTATGGCCCACATCTGCTAATCAGGAAACCGTTTTTCCTTTGACGATCTTTGAGCTTCGGAAGATGCGTGTGCCATGACTTCGCAGTTTATATCTTCAGACTGGAGTTGCGCCAGCAAGTTATCAAATACAAGGTTTCAAAAGCTTAGACCCAGTATTGAACCTTGTTGGTAGCCCTTTGTCATGGACTTTACGACAGTCTCGTGTCTGCCTCCAATTTGGGCTTCTCTTTCCGCGAAGTAACTTTGCGCTAACTTGCAGATGTTTCGCACGCAGCTTCTCTGCTTTAGCTCGTGCAGCAGGTTCGGCCGCCACACGTTGTCGAACGTTGTCGAAGGTACTCGATATATCGAGTGCAATCGCGAGTGCGTACTTCGAATCCACCATCCGGTCAATCGTTGTTCGAAGTTTAGCGATGGCGTCATCCGTTGATCTTCCAGGCCAGAACCCGCATTGCCGTTCGGAGGACAGGATGTGATCCACGAAGAGTGGTGCCATCCTCTTCGACCTTAGTCGTTCCAATGTCTTGCCTACTATTGATAGCAGGCAAATTGGTCTGTACAATTTTGGGCTGCTTCTATCGCGGTTCGATCCTTTCGGTATCGTCACAATATTCCCGATCTTCCTTCATTTCGGGAATATTCCAAACTCCAAACACGCGTTGAAGAGCTTCAGCAGCTTCTGGTGGAGGCATCCCCATGTTTGCTGAATGACCTCGGCCTCGATTTGGTCGGGACCGGAGCATTTTCCTCTTCTAAGCCGCATGGTCACACTGCTTAGTTTGTCGTGTTCGAAGGGCGGGCTGTCTTCTATATCTGGTGGACTCCTAACGGTCAGAAGATGGCAGTGAGATAGAAGACAATGTGATGGGTACGGCCGAAAACTTTTAAGTGAAGAAGTGATGTCGAATGACGAATGTGATTCGCATTAAAACTATGAAAGAATTAGCGAAAAGCAAGAGTAATCGCTATAATTAAGCACCTCAACGGAATCTAAAATCGTACTGCAATCTGTTCGTAAGTACAATCTTGTAGGCTAGCCGCAAACATTTTAAAAATTGTTAAGCAATTAGTACATGCACTTAATACAATTTTTATGAATGACAGTAGATAGAAATATTCTATCCATTCATATAAAATTCATATTTTGAGTTTAGAATCTGCTTTGATGTACATTCCGAATCTCCAAAAAAAAAACAAGAAATCATCGTTATGTGAACACGAAAAAGTTTTCAAATTTTAATCCGTGATATTGGATCCATTATTAAACTTTCTAAAATTTTGATATTAGATTTGGAATTAGTGATCCAAAAAATGAGATATAACCATCGTTTGTTTAAATCCCGCATTCCCAGAATTGATTTTGGATTTTAATTCGTCATATTGGATTTGAAATTGTAGGATAGCGGAAACCGGTTTTGAGACACCAAAAACTGACAGAACAACAAGAACAGAATATCACAATCACAAAACTCATAAAACTAATTTAACTTAGAAAAAGAACACCAAAATAACGCAACGAAAACACACAAAGACGCAGTCTGATATAGCTCTCTTTCCAACATCGAGCGACTCACGCTCGTGCCGGTCACAATTAACTTCTAAGTACTCTGTTTTGGTCGTCAAGGACCCTGCTTTTATGTTTTTCTTAACCTACGTTTCACCTCCCCGCAGGGACCACGCAATTTAATTTTGCTACCCAAAATAACTTTTCCATTTGCTTCTAGAAAATATTGATCGGTTTATAATTTGTATTTGTTGGCAATGGCCGATTCGCGATTTCTTTCCGAAATGGTATCCTACGATATCTTGTATTTTAAAGTTTTGACCCTAGATTCGGAATCAGCCAGAATTTATCAAAATTTTGATTTTTGATTTTTTGATTTTTGATTTTTTGATTTTTGGTCAGTTTTGGTAGGTTTCTGGCCTAGTACACTTCTGTGCGGTGGAATGTAGGCCACTCAGCACCGCGTCATATAGGTGTTGTATGGGCCCAGATATGGAAGTATCTTATCTCTTATGATACTATCTTATCTCTTTCTGATGGCTCTTCCTGTCTAGGGCAGTGAGTTAAACGCCTTGATTATGTCAAGACTGATAACTAACGCCACACCACCCTGGTGGACAAGCGTCTCCAACCAGGACCTGACCCACTTAATCTCGACAATCGTTTAGCGAACGTCTACTGAAAACACAGCTTACGCATTGCAAATGTATATTTTACCGTCTTGTCAGCGTTAAAAATCATTCCGACATTTTCGCTGAATGGTTTTTTCTTCAAAATGGTCAATAAAATACGTTACCGTATAGCAAATTAGTGCTGGATAAAGAACTTTTCGTAAAATTGCAAGAATAGCGAGTAGAAAGTACGCTTGACGGATTATTTTCAAACTTTCATGACCAATTGTAATTATTTACAAGCATAAATAATTATAATTATGTATATCAAGAAACTCGAGAAACTGTCATCTAAGATAAGATGAGAGTTTTAAATTCTTTTAAGATAAGAATGAGTCTCTTAACATTTTTAATTTTCACGCATTTCTCCATTTTAGCCGAAAATCATGCGTTTTTCAAAAAACATATTTTTATATAAAACTGAGAGTCGTGGAGTAATTTCGCTTACGGATTCGTATTAAAAGAATTAAACTCTACAAGAATTATAAAATGCATATTACAGATTAAAAATCGTGTTACACAGTGTAATCTGCCTGAAGAATTTTTTTAAATATTTATTTTCACATGGACACTTCTTTATAATTTAACCCTTGACTAGATCAATCGCGCAATAGTACTTTTCTAATTCTTCTACTTTTTCAATTCGTCATTGTACCTTTTGCTCCACGAATTTTATACATTCCTTGTTTATTATTTTATATGTCATCTCACTGAACAATATAGTTTCATTTTATTATTCATTTTGTTCATGTTACTCAATACTGCTGTATTCATAATGCATTGAAATATGATCATAGCATAATTTTTTAATTTCAAAGGTATAACGGATGATTCATTTAACGATATGTTTTGTTTTGTTCCTTAATCTTGATTGAAATCTTAATTTTGATGTTTATCTCAGCTTTCAAGCATGAAGTGCATATGCATATAGCATTGTATAAGTATGTAGTGTAAGTTACAGCTACAATTTTCGCCATACATATTTTTGGCAGAGTTTGGTAATATTACCTCACTAAGTGTACATTTTATGTCATTAACGATGTTTAACAGTCACGCGATTAAGAGAAGTGTCTAAGTGATAATAATTAACTCTTCTAAGGTTTATTGTGACAATTAATTCTCAGTCTAATTCCTTTTTCCCTTTACTAATATCTGGCTAAATTCTACAAAAGTTTTCACTTAAAAAAAGGTTGAAATTGTAAGCGAACAATGAAGGTACAGAAAAGGGTGAAGCTTATATTTTGTTTTCTCTTGACGAATAATAATCTTGTTCTATTTCGTAGTTTTATTAGCTCTAAGTCTAAATCTGTTTCTGCTGGAAGACAACGTCATATTATACATTGTCACTTTTGTCTTAAAGCGTCTCCGTCGTTTAGAACCAATATAAAACAGTTGAGAGCTGGAACGGGTAAAGCATTTATTTTTTCTTGACTCTCATTCCTCGCTACATACGGACGTGAAGGGTCGAACCTTTTTTCAGCCATCGGACTAAAACTGTGTCTCCATAAATTGTATTACATGCCTTATTTTCCTCATTCTTAATTAAAATTACTGTCTCACTGAATACGTGAAGCACTGTATTCGTTTTCTAACCTTTGAATCTACAACAGTTTCTTAGGAGAAAAGTATAGAAAGTTTTTCAATTATTTTTATAATTCTCTACTTCTCTGAGTCTCTGTTATATAATTCTATATTTCTCTGAGTAATATTACGGTTCAATTAATGTAGATTATTTGTATTAGTATTAAACAGCACTGCACACCTAGAGATTAATATTGAACCTTCCTGAACAATTATTTTCATATAATATAACAAAATACAAAGTATATAGTATTGTCACGACTATAAAGCTAGAATTTGTAGAACATTTTATTTATTTCTCTTTACCAATAGTGATATTTTATCGAGAACTGAAGATTTTAAGATCATAATAGACATCAAATCTGAAAGATATGAAAAATATATTTCCACAATGATTAAAGTCGTTTATTTAGTTATACCTATTAAATATATTTATATGATATGTGTTATGCTTATTCTCTGATGTATATAGGAAAATTCTGTTTTATTTCTTACAAAAATAAATATAGAATAAATCGGGGTTAAGAAAATGCATGTTATTATTTTTCAAACCTCTTGGTATAAGAAAGGCTCTTAATATAAGAAGAGATTCTCATATTTTCTTTAATTGTTATCTCGACATATTTCAGTATCAACATAATTATTTTATGGTGACACTATGTATATTTATTATTATTATCCTGTTATACACATTTTAAGATAGTTTCCATGGCTTGACAGTGAATATGTTTGGATAGTAATTTATTAGATACATGCACCCATAGTATATGATACCGTGAGATGACAAACAATTGAATTAAACTATATAAGTTAAATTAAACTATATAAGTTTCTGTTAACAGTGATTACTGTTCTTGCAGGAAGATTCTTATGGTGTCTTATGATTTAGCCTAAGTATAGACTATCTATATCTATATATTTCAATTAATTCTCTGCATCTAATTAACCAATTTTTATATCACTGTTTCTGTTTCGCATTCTAAGTAATTAATGAAATAATAGGGCGCATAAATTTATATGAGACATATCATTCATCTACACAAAATATCAATCATACTTTCTTAATTACTATGATTTCTTATGCACGTATATTTAAGCTACTTTTAAATTGTTCACAGGTCTACAATTAAAAGTTGTAATACTGATACCGAGTGGATCTCAAATTTCATAACTATTATACAACAAAATTATCAGACCACGAATTCGATGTCGAAATGGTTGAATGACAGTAAAATGAAATTAGGTCAGATTAATTAAATGAAAAAAGGTTCTGTATCTGTACATTGCAAAATGAGTAAGATGGAGTGTATTTTTGCAATCAGATGACTATAACAGAGGACGTGAGATACCACAATACTAGTGTTACATCGTTGAAGATATGAACAGAATATGTAAGAATTGATGAAGAAATAAATAAAAGTTGACACGTAATACTTTTTTCTGCATTTCAAGAATAATTCCTTTTATCCCAGGAAAAATTATTTGTTTATAACATTGAATTGACCTTTTATTCAAGAGAAAATTCAATTTATTGTTATAAATACTCGAATAGAAGCATAATATATTTTCTTGATTTACATATAATAATAAATAATAAATAATTTTTATGACAAGTAATATTTTAGCCTTTTTTTTGGCAAATGTTTTATCCTATATCTTAATTAACGTATTTATATAACACGAACCTCTTTAACTTATTTTTGTGTATGTATGTAAAATATGGGATCTATTCCCAATCTTCTGTTCGAATATAAAGAGTGGATCACGCAAATGGTACAGGTCGTTGTTTCATTATTAATGCCTATACGCAAACGAGAAAAGTAATTTTTTAAATATATCAGTGTAAAGTGGCAAGATAATAAGATATAAGAAGATAACAAGAATAGCGGGTAACAATGCCAAATCTTGATAGAATGTTACAATTTATGAGTAATATTAATTTTCAAAAACGGAAGAATTTTGAGTGAGAATGAAGTGTCTGGCTCAAAATAACGCCATGGATAAATAGAAAAAGATACTCAACAATGGACGCAGCCTGAAAGTCATCGGTTTCAACGGTATGAAATTAAAACTTTCCTAAAAGAAATCAATCGATGATACTAAATTCAAAAATAGAAACTACTATAAAGAACTAATATAAAGAATTATACCAATGAACTTACAAAAATAATAAACCCGAATCCTATTCGATTAATTTCCCAAGTTACAAATTCTGTATCTATCGTTACTCGAGAAACACTGTTACAAGATACGCGTAATGCCATAAACTTCCAAATCCCGTTAATTCACACGGGACGGGAGGACAAGGATTGGGTCAGCCGTTTCGATATATTTGTTTTGCTAAACACCATCATTTTTAAAGATGTTTTGAAAATGAAAAGAACATCCTGTTTTAAATTTTCATGTAAAAGAATCAATTTTTCTACATTTTCGGACAGTATTTATATCCAGTTGCTGTGGCGGTATTGACTATTCAGTGATTAGGGTATGGTTAGCTAGATTTGTCGCTTTATGTCCTATAAGGATATCGAAAAAAGAAACTTATAAGGCGCCATTTAAAAAAATGTCGGAGACCTCAAGTACTCGTAAACAAATGACCTTGGGAAGGTACCAATGCTATCGTCATATTTTCAAATAGTCCAACTTTGTCCGCAAGAATTTTTTCATAGCGTCACAAATAAGGGTGATATTTAGATGTTTATATATAATCCTATTAGTATATATATGCTTACAAATGCTGCCACATATGGCCAGCCGGTGCTGTTATCTGATGAGATTAAAAAAATAATCCATAGATTCATAACGTGTTTATGCGCCTCAAAATGTTGTGTTATAACGATCAACCTACTGTTAAATAGGAGTTAATTTGAAAGTGCATTTTTATTCATAGTTATTAAACTCTGAGAATGAAGAAAGTCAATGTGTGATTTATTTAATCATTAATTGTAACATCAGCGATGTTAACAATATGGTAATTTAATAGCGTAATTAAAGAGTATCTATGCGAATTTGTGATGTATTCTTCTCGGATAAGTATCATAAAGGACGTTTTTTTTGTATCGTCCGATCCATTCAATACTAGTATGCATAAATTATCGAAAGGAAAAATGAGGAACTCACATCCAGAATCTATAAATCTGTTAGCTATATCTTGTCGTTATGAGACGATCGAGAGCGAGAAGCATTGACAGAGGAAGACCGCACGCGTGTCTCGAGAGCAGTTCCTTGACGACTCTTGCCCGAGTAAGAGATTGACGGGTGACGAATAAACTTTTTGGGACAAAAGTCTTTTTATTAATTTTAACTCGAACCCCTTCGGTTCCCCGAACCACGAGTTGTGCACGGACTAATGATTCTGCTGACGAACAATTTTCCTATCGATTATATCTTAATCGCATTATATAATAATGAAGTCTACTTGTGATTCTCTCCCATTATCTATTGTTACATCCATGGGATGTTGGCATCCTCGCACCCACCGACCACCTTAGAATGAAAAACGTCACGGACCCGATTCTCACAAAGAAGTGTTACGCACGCGGGAAGTCGTCACCCCCCATACCAAGACCACCCAAGGTTAAGAAACATTCCGTCCGATGAATGAAATGTGGACCCTGTTCCCACGAGCGATAACGCTGGGCTACCTTTATTATACTCTTGGTATGCGGAGTCCCGAACATTATCGGAACACCCACCAAGGGCATTGCGAATATATAGATTGGTCCACGGACGGAGCACAAGCAGTTGGTCCCAAATTGTTCAGTTGTCGTGAAGTTGTCGCTAGGTCGTTAAGTCAGTTATTAAGTCGCCCAGTCATTAAGTTGTTAAACCGTAGTGATTTTGTAACCTAAGCAAGAACAAATCACCATTGTCTAAGAGAAAAGTCTGAAAAGTGAATTTCTCCATGAAACCTCCCCCTAACTCGCGACCATCGTCAAAGGACAAGTCAACGGACGCCCAAAGACAGCAGATCGTGACGATTGAAAAAGCTCGAAATCCGGATCGCTGGGGGACCATCCAACACCAAACCTGAATCTCAAGAAGAACTACCCAACATCTCCGAAGTACCCTCGCCAACCCGGAGGTACCAACGTCCTCAAATACCTCCGGCAACCTTGTGAGTATCGGCCTAGCCGCCAATCTTGTAAACGCGACGCAGGCTCATTCGATTAGAACCCGTGGTCCCCGACCAGACGTTGACGTACGTGCGACGTGAGTCTAAAGGCGAAGAAAATTTAGACTTCACGAACGGGTACCTTCGCGCTCGTAGCTGCCGCGGCCGGTAATCGTAACCCAGATCGTGACACTATGATTACCGGATCGCAGTGGTTCGAATCGAGAAATTAATTTTTCCAAAGAGTCAATTTTTTTTCTCGATATAAAAGAAATTTGTGTTATTTTCTGAATACTTTCCAAATTTCAAGAATGAAAATGTTGGTAAATCTCGATCAAAATTATGAGTTCTTAAGTTGAAGGTTCAAAAACGAATACCTTTACCGAAAGAAATTGTTTATTTCTTTAAGATATTTAAATAATTCCTTTCCATACTTTCACTTTGCTTCCTTCTAAATTGAACAGCATTCTTTTGCGATAAAAAAACAATTTTATTGTTAATTATTGTACACAAAGTGTTTAAAAAGTAACGTTGAATAAAATGAATAAAGCTCATTAAATCTTGTTTGATAAGAAATATCTTTTAAATCTAACGAAATTTCGCATTCGAAAGAATTAGAATATTTTCAGTACATCTTCCTCTGTATAAGCATGGAGAAATCTTTCCCCCGTCGTCTCACTCTTCAAATTATTGCTGTTTAAAATCGTTGGTCTAATATCGTTCAGTGCATGTGCGTTCACATTTATTCCCGAAACTCCGCGACATGTGACAAACTATGAGCTGAAATAAGAGAGAATTATTTAGATTATAGATACTTGAGACGTTTATGCCATGGTAGAGATAAGTCTTTGACTAAGACTGCAGTTATATTAACCGCAATAGTGAAATCAGTACATTCTAAGTATGCAAAGGAAAAAAATTATTACAAAGTATTCAAAATATTCGTTTTTTTTTTATTTCATATATCATATATTATGTAATATTATTTAATTTATGTATATTATATTTATAGCGTTGCGCACATATTTGCCTGCTTATTTCATTCAGTTTAAGTTATATCTAATCGTATTCTTATACTTCATATCCAATTGCTCACTTACATTTAGTTTCCTTCCATTGTATACCTTGACAGGTATAGGACGATTCAAAAATGTATTATGTGAATTATTCTCTTTATTTAACATTTCACCTTTCGTTGCGTATGCCACATGCGTATATCCAGAGATTATAGTATTGTTGATAAAACTGGACAAAGGACAAACTGGACACTCATTTTCTACGCGACCTCGTATTCGGTGGGCTAGGTATCCACCCATACTAATCCTCGTGCACGGTCATTTGTCCTGCCGCACACTGTTTACATATAAAACATGAAGATATAATAATGAAGTGAAGTTAAGATGAACCAAATTTTAGCATCGTTCTTTAAAAGAACAATCGAGTTTCTATCTATGGTTCCTACAGGAATATTGTTCCTTTTGGTGAGTAGAAGACGATTCAGCCATAATGGAATTCAGCTAGAAAGCCTTAAGGAAATTGGTCAAGGTTACTTTTGCGAAATATCTTGGCACATATCTCCACTGATCCATAGCTGTAGAATCATGCTATTGTGGTCATGACATAACTTGGTTTCAGTGTTTGCTGTTTCCATTTTATCATCCCCTTCCGTGTTTTCCTCAATACTCTCATGTAACATTTCATAATTCATTCCTTTTAATGGAATATCGTGACATGACCTCCCAGATTTCGATCTTTGACCTTCAAGAAGCCTTATCCTCTGTTTGCTTTCATCATATTGTACGCTCCTTGCATCGAACACTTGCTTAGTTGTTGCATAGCAGACTCTATATTTTCTAGTGCGGTCGGATAGCCAGCGAATATCCCCGCTTGGCCGTCGGGCTCAACAATACTCCCGAAAGTAAGCGGTGCACCAGAATACTTTGAGGTATCTTACATAGGATTTGTACTTTTCTCAGTTCTGCATCGGTGTGTGTTTCTTATTCTACTTCGTGATGGTCCTATTTTTAAGATATGCCGCTGTAACAACTTCTGCCCCTCAACAGCTTTCGGATAGCTTTGTGTCTATAAGCATAGTAAACGCTTAATTCAAAATTGTACGGTTAGACCTTTCCTCTACTCCATTGCCTCAGAGATTATAAGGGGCAGTTGTTTCATGTAGAATCTCTCTTATTTCAAATAATTTAACAAAATCTTTGGTCATGATTTCTGGATCATTACCTGACCGGGCTGCCCTCATTTTTCTGCCTAATATATTTTCACTCTTTTACACAAACTCTAGAGAAAT